TTTATTCATATCTCAGAATGAATTAATTATTAAATCAACAATCACGGACTTTGGGATCTGGACTGAAACATCTCATGTGTTTCAGTAAGAGCGAACAAAGAATAAAAAAACAGCAGTCGGAAAATAAAAGTTTGTAACTTCCTATCTACATTACTGCTTGAATGTGTCCATCCAGCACATGACGCCACAAATGTATTAATTCGACGCGGACGATGGGCCTTCCTGATCAGCTGCTGACCTAGATGGATCATCCTATGTAGGTACTCCATAGACGTATTTTATTGACGAATGAATGCTTCTAAGAAGTTTTGGCTCTTGTAGCTTTCATAGACTTCATCACAGGAACTGTTAAACTCAAAATTGCATTTCACCATTAACATTGCTTGTAGTGTTTCCAGGTTTAACTGTGTCCTTTCAGTATCCATATGATATTCATAGACGAGAAAACTCTTTCACTGGCGGTGTTTGTCCCTGGAAGACACAACAAAAATTCTACAATTATCTGGATTTGCACACATAGTACGTTTTTATTCTTGAAATGACAAAAAAAATTCAGCCCATCGACAGTCAAGACAAGTTTTCTGACAATTCTAAGCTGCAATCTTTTGTGGTGAAGTAAATCGCCTAATGAAGATTCATCAAATAACTCGTTATCATCGATGTCAACCTTTGGAATCTTCCACCTAAAAAGTTGCACGCTCTCTTGTGCTTTTTATCATGACGGTAGCTCCTTTAATGCAACCCAACTAAATGCATTTAGGTCTTCCAATCGCTCAACCCTCTCTTTCAGATATTCAGCACAGTTGTCGTAAAAATTTACAATGGTTCTTATAATGTCATTTTTTCTCGCCAATCCTTCCTCTTCTAATTGGGTAATCAGCATATGTACTTCATTTGGCAAAAAGTTTTTTTGCATCTCTTTCAGTGCATTTATGTATTAAATCATCCAGTTCAGAAGATACTTCCAATGCTGTTACAATCTGTGCTTCTATGTGCAGAATTGCCAATTGAAACACTGCAGCGATATTATGTATGAAACAGAGCCACAATTCAGTGCAGGGATTCTCAAAAAGTTACGGATACTTCCCTTCCGACAAGAAATAGGATTTCAGTGCAGGAAACAATTTTAAAACTCTCTGTACTGCAGGCATCAGTGATAACCATCTAGTTTTCCCATATCCTAAAATGCGCTGGTATTTTACACAGGCAAAGTCACAAAATTCTTTGAATGACTCAACACGAACAGTGTAGATACAGAAATAATAATAAATTTTCATAATAACTGCTTCCACATCAATTTGCAAGCAATCGCCTGCTGTTTGGATTGCGTTGTGGAGGATATGAGCAGCACAACCAATACCTAGCAGTTTCCTCTCGAAAGCATCTTGTAATATTGCAAAAACGTTGTTTCTACCTATTCATTTTAATCCTCTGAAATGCAGTTTTGCATGAATTATGAAAATTTGCTCTGAATGCAAATTTTCATAACTCCTTCCACATCAATTTGCAAGCAATCTCCTGCTGTTTGGATTGCGTTGTGGAGGATATGAGCAGCACAACCAATACCTAGCAGTTTCCTCTCGAAAGCATCTTGTAATGTTGCAAAAACGTTGTTTCTACCTATTCTTTTTAATCCTCTGAAATGTGTGTTAGCGTTGTTTGCACAGAAGCCAGCAACCTTTTTTGTCAGACCATGCTGTTGTAATGCATTTACAAGAAAATTGCAAATCATCTGTGCTGTTTCTCCAGAAAGAGATTGCAAGTCCAGGACTTTAACTTTCACACCTGACAGTGGCACAAAATATCTCGCTATCACAGGAAATAGCTTGACATCCTTATGGTTCGATGCGTCTGTAGACATTGTCACAAAATTCGCGACATTTAATTCTGCCTTGACTTAGTTCATTACATATGGACAAAGTACATTTATGACGAAGTCTTCAAATTTTGGATTAAAACACTTTTGCATTAATTTGGAAGTACAGTCCATCGACCTAAAGCTGTGATTGTGATAAATCATGGGTACGTAAAGGTACCTTCTGTAGCAGCCAACCGAGCTTCCTTTTCACCTAATCTTGAAAAATAGTTTGTAATTGTACCTAATGATGCTGACAATTTCAGGGTGTTTTTGTGATGATCCATATTCAAATGCTTCATGATATTTCCACGCCCGCTGTGAACGATACAGAAATGTGATCCATATTTGTTGCACCTCACGTCACTATCGATGTTGCTTCTAACCTTCTTTATGAATGAAAACTCGCCTTGTAAATCCTTGTTGAATTTCGACTTTCGTTTTGGCACGACTGATGCTCCATGGAGACTCGGTATTGTCACTCACATAAGAAAAAAATAAATAACCATCAAAACATGACAATCGCGCACAAACCACCTTAGCCAAAGAACATCTATATAAAGAAGGAGAGTTCCATAGAACATAATGTAAACCAATTATTCCTATTATGTTGCTGGAAAGCGAAGGGAAAATTCGCCAATGGATTTGACGACGGAACCTGGTGGCAAGAATTTCCCCCTCTGCAATGTGTACAGGAAATTGAGGAACACGGCATTAAGAAGAAATGTTCTTTGACAAAACGTTTCTTTGACTTTTCCTGATAATTTAAACTCTGATTTTTGCACTTTTTTTGCTCAAAATAACCAATCCACTAATTAATTTACTTGTGCGAAAAAATATTTTCTTTTCCTTTAAAGTTTAAAGAAATTTAAAATGATATTCGTTTTATGGACTCTTGATAAATGTGACCTTCGAATTTCGATGGCAGCTTGGAGCTTTGGCGACAGATATTTGGGGCATGCTGTCTTTTTGTCTTAGCCACCAATGCGGGCGGCGACCGCGTATCTGAGTGATGACATCATAGCTTTATCAGAAGTAAGCATCAGCAAGGTGTCACCAATGCGCCGTGGCACCCAATTGGAGTTAATTGACGTTAAGAGTCTCTTTTGCAGAAAAGCGGGACAAACAGGTGTCCTGCCCTGACAAGCGAGGGACATCGGGACATGAAGTCTGAAATCTGGGCTGCCCCCCTAAATCAGGACGTCTGGTCACCTTAATCTAGTGTGTGCATATAACAACTTTTAAAATGAAAGTTCCTGCCTTTGTGTGAATTGACATAAGTGGGAAAAATTTTTTCCTGTGTTTCCGCTTTTCACACCAACAGACAAGTTTTGAATGCACCGCTATTCATTTGAGAATGCTGTATCTGAAGCTGTCCTGTGATCTTTCATTTGTTGATCTTCATTATTATGATATCATCATAAATGTTTTGAATGTTATCATAGTGATTTCAGCTGGGTGCCAAGGCCATGCTTCGTGTTCAGTAAATTATTTATTTATGTTTAAATTCATTTATTCATAAATCAACAATCTCTTAATTCTAATAAAGTCCCCATGAATATCACCCAACTGTACTTTGATCTGAATGGTCAATTATTTCTTTAAATAAAATATTTTACTCCCAACTACAGAACTCGATTAGTACACAACTCGGAACTTGGTTAGTTACTACAGATCTCCCTCCCCAACCTGGTTTCAAGTACTGTAATGTTGCTTCAGTCACTTTTAGAATGATAGCAATGAGTCACATTAAGCAGAAATTTGACCCGAATTAATGTGAAGCGTGGCATTTGCCAGGGACATTATCAAATAAATTATGATGTCATCTCATAGAAATTTACCAGACTTTTCAGATATACTGAATACGTAAGTAATAATAATAATGCAAAAGTTATATTGTAAATTTCATGCTAGTTTTTTCAATTATGTTTTTGGGGAAGGGGAGAGTTTTTTCATGCATTGTGAAAGAAATTATGAGGCAGATTAGGTAATGCATTTATAAAGTTGTTCGCTGTTGATGAGCTATAACTTTTAATACCAATATTTATCTGCAACAATTGGCAACAGTGTGTTTTTTTCCTCTGGTAAGGTAGCAGTGTGTGAAACCGTAACTAGTAATGAAGCTACATTTTCTGTTAATAAATTTGTGTTTTATGTTACTTTTATGAAGAGTAATTTTTTTTGCTATATATCACAGGGTATAACTCAATCGAGATTGTTTTAACAAAAGTAAATGATCGTGGTCTTACCATAACGGAAGTATTTGTCATAAAAATTAAACATATTAAAAAAGTTATATCTATAGAACATTTTTGCAGCATTCTTGTAACAATATTAATGGAAAATTAGTTGGGAATTATAAAGAAAATGGTACCATTATAATTACCATTTACTAATGTTTTATTGTTATAATTTTATTCAGTTTCAGATAAAAGTACAGTGTGGAGTAGTTTTAAGTGTTCTTAATAGTAATATAAAAAAATATTTTAAATTTTTTTAACAGTAAACTCACTTCAAAGAACAGCTTACCAGAGAAAAGTTAAAAAATATGAAAAACGTACAAATACATTGGGTACCGTTAATAAAATCACTGCTTTATAAAATCAATCAGTTATTAAAATCAAAACCAACCTTGTATCCTTAACAAAAACAAAATTTCTGCTTGCAGCCTATCACTGCATATAAAACTTATCTGCTTTATACAGTCAAATAAGGTCAGAGCAGAGGTGACCTTATTAAGCAGTACCCAATATATTTCACTTTTCTTCATAAATGAAAAATAATATCTACTGCTACCAACTCATGAAATCAAATCTTAACTATTGAATAAAATTAAAACCTAACTCCATAAGAATTTCAATTTTAGAAAAGATATTTATTTCTGCTTCTTTTTTAAATGTAAAAAAGAAGGGGGGGGAAGAGAAAAAATTAAATATATGAACAAAATTAAGAATAGCATTAGATTTTATTTTGGATGCAGACAGTAGCATACACAAGTAATAAAGTTAAAAATTTTGTGTCTAATTACTGGGTGTTCAAAATTCTATTTCATTTATGAGTGATATGCATTTTGGGTTATATGAGAGGTGTTTAAAAATTTGGTATAAACTTAAACTTTTATAATTATAATTTTATGTAATTTTAGGTGAAAGCATAGTTCAGAAAGTGAAGTGAGTGAATTTCAAATGTGAGGTTGTGTTACAACATTTACTTATATCTACTTACTACTGGATTCCTCAGGCAATACATAGCCGGTAAATGCAAGTGTGTATGTTCCCAAATGTAGTACAAAATGTTTTTAGATAATTTTAGCTACATTCCAAAAATTTTTTATAATAGTAAATTAGTTTATTTGTATTATTTTACATGATCCAAATCTTACAAAATAAGTATTAATTGAAAAGAAGTTATATTTAGAATTTGTAAAAAAAAAAAAAAAAAAAAAAAAAAAAAATTACATATGTATATGTATAAAGTTTTATTATCTTAAGAATATGTTCTGTGCCTTTTGCTGTAATTTTTGTACTAAGGATGTACTGTAGAATATTAATTTCATTACAAAAATCATGTATGTTTTTAATAATAAAAGTTTTTCTTTTGACATTGTGAAAGATTATGAATAAGAGTATTTGGGTCTCTGAATTTACAAATCATCTTCTGTGTACCCTTCACAGACATTGGACCACAGCTGTGTCCATTCTTGTAAAAAAACTTCACAAAGCATATCCCAATAATTATAATCACCATGTATTTAATGTGTTAACTTCTGCTTATGACCTTGCTAACTCAAAGTGTGTCATCATGATACCTTTTTTTGGAAGTTAGACATTTGCATAACTACACTTAGCAAATAATGAAGTATATAAAATGAGCATTATATGGATTATCTTCTTCCTAAAAAAGGGCAGTTAAAAGTTAAATATTTATTTATATTGGATAACTAATGTATTTGATTTTTTTAGAGCAGCAATGTAAACTATACATTTCCCATATTCCACAAGCAGTTCTTCATCTATATGCATTTCTTGATTCTAAGATGCACTCATTAATTTCGGTTAGACAAAAGAAAGAGAAAAGAGAGTGAAAAGGAAAAGACAATGTAATTACCATTTTTTAATAATCCACTTTGATTATAGTTTTCCTATTTCAGTAATATGGGAAGATCTGTTGTTTCAGAAACATTAGAAAATGGGAGAAAAGTCTGTAATTTAAAGAATGCACTTTATTTTTATTAATGCTTTTAATGTAGGTCTTTAATGGGGAAGTTGTGTCTTAGAATTGAATAAATATGGTTTGATGTCTCGTTGTAGGTACTGGCTCAAAAAAATTAAATTACATCACATTGACATAAACTATAATCATTTTATTTCTGCTAGAATACTCCAAATTACATGGGTCTCTTCTCCTCAACTTTACATTCCTCATAACAGCTACTTATCACTGTGGGATATGCATTTTACCCAATGTTACAAATGCAGTATTCTTCATAGCCTGTCATTCACTCTCTGCCCTTCATTGCAAGCTTTTGCCTGCTGCACCCCCCTCAGTGCTTCTTTGTAACCATATATAAGAGAAAAATCTCCTGACATCGTGTGATGCAAGGTTACAGCCGAAAGCATCGCGGAGAAAACAATGCAAGGCGAAAACGTCATGGCACAAAATATCATCTTTGAAAATAAAGTGGTTAAAAAACCTCGCAGTTTAAAAACATAGTCATCGAAAATATCGTAGTAAAAAATAAAGTACCTACAAATCATCGCATGATGATAATATCGCAGACATGCGATTTTTAGGCCTTAATATTTGTAAATGGATATTCTCATAATGATTTGTGAGTGCAAGATGGAAAGAAGGATAATTTTTACTTTCATATTTTATTAACTAATAAAAAACAAAAGAAATTTAAACAAAAAGAAATAATTTTTACTACAAGAGTATCAGATTAACAAAAGTGAAGAAAATAATCTCATAATTAGTAATTTTTTTATAGGTAAGGACACACAGTTACTTATCTTCCTAATCTTTTTTAGATTATACTCTTCATGAAAAATTACCAGTAAAACGTTATAAAAAATAATTTATTAATGACTTTGTTAGTTAACTATGTCAGTTTAAAATTATATTCAGTTGCATTAATTTTCTATGCTTAAGTTTCCATTTTACATTTTCAGCAAATATTTATTAGTTAATAGAAACATATGAAAGTAAAAATTTTCTCCTTTCCATCTTGTGCTCACAAATCATTATGCGAGTATTCTTTCACAATTATTAAAGCCTAAAAGATGGAAGTCTTATGTTATTGTCATGCGATGGTTTGTAGGTACTTTGTTTTTTACCATGATATTTTCGACGGCTATGTTTTTAAACTACGAAGTTTTTTAACCGCTTTATTTTCGAAGACGATATTTTGTACCATGATGTTTTGGAATAGCGATGTTTTCTCCTTGCTTTATTTTCTCCCAGAATGTTTTGGCCTTGCGTTATTTTCTTAACGACGTTTTGATCTGCAATGTTTTTGGCAGACACCATGATGCAACATACTGTTCCCTTGAATATATTAGGTTCAATACAAGAAAAAGAACATCAATTAGTCACAATGACTTACACACAATTTATAATTCCAAATAAGCATAACAGTTATAGCTGAGATGTTCCAACATTATTCTCAAATGGCAAAATGCAAATCTTTGAAATATCTGTTTTAAATGTGACATGTTTTGTCTTCATATTTACTATCTGTACTTTTTGTGACCTCCTGGAAAAACATCTACCACTCTTCCCAGTAACCAGCTCAGACTGGCATATGATCTTCCTTAATGATAACTTCAGTTCCAATTTTCATATTATTCTTTGCAAACATCCACTTACTCCTCTGTTGCAAATTGTTTAAGTACATCACCACTATTTCCAAATGAAAAGACAAATTAAAATTTTAGTAAAACAACTTGATTCTGATATTTGTATCTGTTAAAGAAAGGACCACTAAAGTCAATAACCTGTATGGTTGAATAAATAATTCTGATTCATTCAATCTCGAGGTAAGTTACCTAAAAGTTGATTTGTACCAATTGGTTTGGCTTTAAAATGCAAAATACATTCATGTGCAACTTTTCTACACAGTGATTTACCATTTGATGGCCAAAAGATATGTTGAACATGATATACAATGATTGCACTTCAACATGCAAATATTTCCTATGGAAATACTGTTCAATGTGTTTTGTTAGAATATGCTTTTCAAGCAAAATAGCTAGATGCTTCTGGTAAAATTTGAAGTTGGTATTTTGTAATCTACCACCAACTCTCAAAACTCTGTCAATATCTAGAAAAGGGTACAAATTAAGAATGTGAGAATTTGTAGGTAATGATTTCCCTGCATTAATACTTTTAAGCTCAGAAGAAAAACTTACAGCTTTAACTTCCAACACAACATGATATGCTGCATTCCAACGCCGTCATAGTTATAAATTGTAGATTTTTTCGTGTCAATGGCAGTTGGGCATTGTTGATAAACCTCAAACTTTGTGTTATCAGTCTTGTCACTTAATTTGCAATTTTACAGAAAATGAGATTTTTGAAATTACTAACTCTTCTATATCTACTCCAACAGCACATGAAGAGTGTTTCCATTCTTCTTTCAATGATTCCTCACAGTTTGGAATTTCTTGAGAAAATGCTATTTCTATTGAATCTGGGCCATTCCACAAAGTTTATGATTTACAAAATCATCCTGATAAAGTCCTCGTAAAACACAATCAGCTGTATTTTCCATTCCTTGAATGCAATTCCAATTTTCAGCTGGAACAGTAGTCTGAATCTCTGAACAGTATGTGCTACAAATATTTGCCATCGGTTGGATTCAGACATTAGCCAAGATAATACATGAATCACTTCATGCATGTATAGGATAAATTTCCACTTGCATTGTACTTCTATCTGCTTATATTAAGCATGTTAACAAAACAGCAGCACAGAGTTCCAATTGTGGAATTAAAATCGGTTTAATGGGAGCAATTCCAGATTTTGTTATCAACAATTTTACACAAACAGTTGAGTGATTAGATGACCTAACATAAATAACTACACCATAACCTTTCTCTGATGCATCATGGGAACCATGCAATTGAATCATCAAAGGTTCAGGTAACAGAACTTTGCGAATTAAATTTAAATGTTGAATTTCTTTACGCATAGTTTTTCACTTTTTCCTAATCTCTTCTGGAACTGCATTATCCCAATCAAGTTTAAATTTTCAAAATTCTTGAAAAATTTTTGATGATAGAGCAAAAGGTACAATCCAGTCCAAAGGAGCGAATTTTGCTATTTAGGATAGTATAATTTGTTTTGTTTGAATGTCTTGACAGTTCAACATCAGTACATTACAGAAACATTCATATTTATTAGGGTCTGACTGCAGGCCAAGAACTTTTACAGCTTTATTTTTCACAATCATGTGGAGGTTGACGGCAACGGATACATTGATGGCAGCAACGTTCCATGCTATTAATTAAGCTGTAGGTCACTGAAATGGGAAGCAACGACCAGACACGCAGTAATCCTTGTTCAAGCTCATCTAACGATCTTGGAGGAGGACTTAGCAACACCTGTCTCCCAAGGTAGTCCCAAAGATGCTGTATCGGATTCAGGTCTGGGGATTGAGCTGGCCATTCCATCCGCACCATATCGTGACCCTCAAGATATTCTTCAGCAACCCGAGCTCGGTGCGTTTGCGCATTGTCGTCCATCAGAAGAAATCCAGGACCAATAGCAGCGGCATATGGGCTGACATATTGTTCAAGGATCTCGTCTGGTTTCTCACACCGGTCAAAGTTCTTTGGAACACATGCAGGTCAGTGTGACTACCGAGAGAGATTCCAGTCCAAACCCAGGAGACTTCTCTTGCCCAACACAAACGGGCACCAGTGTGTCTTCGGGTCAAGGAAACACAAACAACTAGTCGTCTTGTGTACAGACTTGTATTGTGCTGGCGCATGCACTCTGTAGTAGCTGAGATTCTTGTTCCTGTTGCCACTTATGATCGGCCATAAGCTGAGGCACAGTAGTGTTACCGCTCCTTCGGGCCAAAAGAGACAAATAACTGTCTCCCGCAGGTGTTGTAACTCTAGGTCTGCCTGGAACATGTCTTCTAGACACAGAATCCTCGGATTCAAGCTGATTCCATAGTAGGGGGACCACACTACGAGAGAGCTTGGGGACATCTAGCAGCATCAGCTTCTGACATCCCCATTTCCACCAATCCGATCGCCCGCCGCCTCAACGAATCGGGCAAACGATTTCTCCTGGACACTGATAGACTCTCCTGGATATTGTCAACGAAATTGCTGATAACAATTGAAGATCAACACTCGTGAACAAAACTTTTTACGGTGAATTACGGTAGTCTGAAGTATTCGGCCTATCGGCCTTTACTCGAAAAATTACTATCCCTACTGTGCAGTCTTAGTGAAAATCTTAAACAGTACAATTTGTACGTCTTCCTTGGCGAAGCAATAGATGACGGCGAGACTTAGCGAGATTAAATACAACCTAGTGCTTTCTGTTTGATTGAACATGCAGAGTAGTCAAGTGAAGAATAATGACTTCCAATATC